CTTCTTAAATGATAATTTATGAAAATAAATGTCAACTGATTGATTTGTTATATTTGACTAGGTGTCGGCCAGAATTTTGAAATAAATATGGATTTAAATTTGAATTTAACTATATATAGATATCAATGTAATTTTGATTTTGAAAATTAATTTTTTTATTTTAAATTAAATGAGACCAAACGGGTCTCATATATTGGATAGTTTGGACGGTTGAACGCGATACCACAAGTAATACACTATCTTGAAGAATAAACATATCACTTGTAGTAGATTTAATCACCTAAACCAAAGAATTTTGTGACATCTGTTTAGTCTGCGAAATCTTTTATATATGGCCGACAAGTTCCCTTACCTAATATAAAGATTAGATAGGGTTTATTGTATCTGGGTTTTTAGTTCCCTATAGAATCAAGCTCTTTTAGTTAATTACATCTTAACTGACCGGGGTCATTTAAGAAGACTCTCGATTAAGATCAGTGGTTCTACCTTCAATATTTCAAAGTTTAGGTTTTCAAGATTGGACAGAGAAAGTTAAATGGGAGTAGTTCAAAGAGGAACAATTATTTTAAGGAATCTAAAGGAATGAAGAGTAGGGGATACCCCGGTGACCTCCCAACTATCCTATTGTTTGGCTTTATGTCTTTGAAATAATATTTATTTAATATTTCAATCTTGCAATTTATTTAGAGTTTAGGACTTACATTCGCACGATATATGATCGTGCGAATAGCCTAGAAAGATAGGAGGATTTTCACCGTACCGTACGACAATCTCGGAATCCTAAAAAGTGTTAGGACTTATAATTACACAACAAGGTTGTGCAAAAGCCTAAAGATAATATGTGAGGATTTACGTTGCGCCAGACGAACCACCTTGAAATCCTATGGCGTGTTATTTTAACTAAGAAAAAAGTTGTTATTTAAACTAAGAAAAATGTTTAGTTGCGTAGACTTTTTGTACTGTTGTAGATCTTCATCCCCCTTTTACTACGTCCTGATCGTGATGCCCACGAAGAGTTGTTTCATGCTCCATGCAGTAATGATTTTAGGTTTAGTGTCTTTTATGTGAGCGTGCAATATTGTTATTTAGTGACTTACCGCTAATTTAATTAAACCATACTATACCCAAAATATTTTGTAGTTAATTTAAAGCATACATAAACTATGCTATAAGAAAGTACAGTAAATGAAAACTGTATAAGGTGCGGTAAATAAAAATAGTATAAAGGAAATGCAGTAAAGTGCTACAAATGTACTGTAAACTTTGTGTACTTGAGTTTCTTGTTATTGTTGTACCTGTAAATGAGATTAGCGTCGCAGGTAAAAGTATAGTAGAAAAATTTAGCTAGCAGAACAAACATGTGTTCATGTATAACAGAATAAATGATGGAGTAATATATGGAAAGCCCTGAGGAAAACTAAAAGTGACCTACAGAGACTTGAAACAAATCGTAGGAAAAAGACACATTGATTGATTTATTATATTTGACTAGGTGTCGGCCGGAATTTTGAAATAAATATGGATTTAAATTTGAATAACTATATATAGATATCAATGTAATTTTGATTTTGAAAATTAATTTTTTTATTTTAAATTAAATGAGGCCAAGCGGGTCTTATATATTGGATAGTTTGGACGAACGCGATACCACAAGTAATACACTATCTTGAAGAATAAGCATATCACTTGTAGTAGATTTAATCACCTAAACCAAAGAATTTTGTGACATCTGTTTAGTCTGCGAAATCTTTTATATATGGCCGACAAGTTCCCTTACCTAATATAAAGATTAGATAGGGTTTATAGTATCTGGGTTTTTAGTTCCCTATAGAATCAAGCTCTTTTAGTTAATTACATCTTAACTGACCGGGATCATTTAAGAAGACTCTCGATTAAGATCAGTGGTTCTACCTTCAATATTTCAAAGTTTAGGTTTTCAAGATTGGACAGAGAAAGTTAAATGGGAGTAGTTCAAAGAGGAACAATTATTTTAAGGAATCTAAAGGAATGAAGAGTAGGGGATACCCCGGTGACCTCCCAACTATCCTATTGTTTGGCTTTATGTCTTTGAAATAATATTTATTTAATATTTCAATCTTGCAATTTATTTAGAGTTTAGGACTTACATTCGCACGATATATGATCGTGCGAATAGCCTAGAAAGATAGGAGGATTTACACCGTACCGTACGATCACCGTACCGTACGACAATCTCGGAATCCTAAAAAGTGTTAGGACTTATAATTACACAACAAGGTTGTGCAAAAACCTAAAGATAATATGTGAGGATTTACGTTGCGCCAGACGAACCACCTTGAAATCCTATGGCTTGTTATTTAAATTAAGAAAAATGTTTAGGTGCGTAGACTTTTTGTACTGTTGTAGATTTTCATCCCCCTTCACTACGTCCTGATCGTGCTGCCCACGAAGAGTTGTTTCATGCTCCATGCAGTAATAATTTTAGGTTTAGTGTCTTTTATGTGAGCGTGCAATATTGTTATTTAGTGACTTACCGCTAATTTAATTAAACCATAGTATACCTCCTAAACCATACTATATCCAAAATATTTTGTAGTTAATTTAAAGCATACATGAACTATGCTATAAGAAAGTACAGTAAGTATAAGGTGCGGTAAATAAAAACAGTATAAAGGAAATGCAGTAAAATGCTACAAATGTACTGTAAACTTTGGGTACTTGAGTTTCTTGTTATTGTTGTACCTGTAAATGAGATCAGCGTCGCAGGGAGCGTCGCAGGTAAAAGTATAGTAGAAAAATTTAGCTAGCAGAACAAACATGTGTTCATGTATAACAGAATAAATGATGGAGTAACATATGAAAAGCCCTGAGGAAAACTGAAAGTGACCTATAAAGACTCGAAACAAATCGTAGGAAAAAGACACAAACAAATAAAACAAAACAAAACGTCATATATAAAGGACCAAGGGTAGCTGATTTATATGTGACATTGGGAATGTCCCTAATTGCTAGGAGGATTTGAGTGTAAGATTTACGCTCGAATCCCGGAGCTGAGAATTTCACTATTTGATTTAATTAAATGAGTCGTGAACCACAGTCTGGTGTATATACTGTCTATTGCTTTAACCACTAATGAATCAGGGTCAGGTGCCTAGCTTCAGTATCCATTTGAAAATTAGGTAGATGAACTCTCACTTAGAGTGTGCTCCTAAAATTTAGGAAGCCTACACTTTAACTTGAGCTTAAAGTGTTTGAAAGTGTTGTCTTCACTTAAGTGTTTTCCAACTAATCCTCGAACATCTTTGGATCAAACTTAGCTCACTATCATGCTCTTAAAGACTTAGAGGGTAAGCCTATAATTTTGCCAAAAATATTCATGAAATAAGTTTCAATCCTAATTAAAACAATTGGGCTTAAGTCTAACCAATGCTTAGGAGTTCTGATTGATAGCGATTGATAACTACTGATCTTTTAATTCATGCTCCTAACTCTTGAATCATTTAAGCTCTTACTTTCTCCCAATTCTCAACAATTCTCAACAATTCTCACAATTACAATTTTATCCTTAAAAATTGTGAATAATTTGCTATCCTATTTCCCCTTGGGATTCAACAGACTGATTATCATTGTTTTTCTTAGTTCCCTCCACTCTGATTATCCCCCTTTTTTTTAAAGGCGTGATTCAATCCTGAAAATAATTAAATAAAAAATTCGCATTTTTAACTTAATCATTGACAAGAAAAAGGAAAACAAAACCAAATAAGCGGAGGAGACCGACCCACTTAAACAAAGTCAGCAAAGCCAAAAGCGAAACTACAAGTGAATCGGTCTAAAAATATTTAAATTCTTTCAAAAAAATAAATTATCAAATTAACTCCCAAAGTATCAAGCAAATTGGACTCGAAAAGGGCATTTGAAGTTTTTAACACGACAAGAATATAACATTTAATGACGTAAAAGTAACGTTTTGAGATTTCCAATTTAGTATTTGAAAGAAGACCCAAATGAAACAATTCAAATTTTCAAAAAAAAGAAGCTTAAAAAACTTTCAAATCTTCAAAAATCAAAATAACTCGAAAAGACTTACAAATTTTTCAAATAAAACACTTAAAGCTTTCAGGTTTTGTAAAAGTAAAACATTGTCACTCTCCCAACTTTCCAAATAGAGTTTGAAAAGTTTCAGATTTTTCGAATGTAAAGCATCAAAGCATTTGTAAACTTTCCATATTTTCCAAATAGAATACTTAAAGCTTCTAAGTTTTGCAAAAGTAAAACATTGCCGCTCCCAAACTTTCCAAATATAGTTTGAAAATTTTCAGATTTTTCAAATGTAAAACATCAAAGCATTTGTGAATTTTACAAATTTAATATGAGAGCTTTTAAATTTTTCAAGAATAAGGCACTGCCACGCCATAAGTCTTTGCAAAGAGAACATGCAACCTTTCAAATTTTTACATGAGTATAGCACCAAAGCCATAAGTCTTTGCAAAGAGAATATGCAATATTTCAGATTTTCACATGAGTATAGCACCAAAGCTACAAGTGCATAAGGGAATATGCAAACTTTCAGATTTTCACATGGGTATAACACCAAAGCATTTGTGAACTTTCCAAATTTAATACGAGAGCTTTCAGATCTTTCAAGAACAAGACACCGCCACTTTCTAAGCTTTGTAAACAAACATAAAATGTTCTTAGATTTTTGTAAAAGTTAAGCATCATAACTTTCCGAATTTTGCAAATGAACTACCCAACATTTTCACATTTTGCAAAGATAACACCCAAGCTACAAGTATTAAGAACCACCAAAAGAGAGTTTGAAGCCTCGCTTCCAACTTATAAGCCGCTTTGATATTCAATACATAATTTTCAACAGTTTTGTTTGTTTCGTATCACGAAAGTGAAAGAAAATATATTTCCAAATAATCATGTAACTTCAATGCAAGCCACACAATCATGCCATCATTTCAATTTTAGAAGGTGAAATTTACATAGTTAAGATGCTAGATGCGTAAATATGTAAGAATTGAGCGGTGTGTATTTAAATTTTCCAAAGAATAGTTAAGTTCAACCTAAACTCATGTTCCTGATTTTAAAATGAACTGACTCAAAAGAAAGATGAATATAAACAATAGAGATATAGGTGGGGTAGCTGCCCAAAAGGTGGAAGAGTTTCCCACGCCAAGCACCGTTAGACGGATGTGCTCCAAATTGGAGATCAAACTTGCATTGTACATCTATTTTGCACAGCTTACACCCTTGTATGAAACTACAGTCAAACACTTTAGATTTTTGTATGGTTTTAGATTTTCGAGCACATTCACACATAAGTCAGAATTGTCAAAGTTCCGTAGGCTTCCAACACCCATGTCTGAGTTCCATTAATAAACCGTATTGCCCCAATTCAAGGATATATATAGGTTTTCTCCTCTCAAGTAATTTTGCTGTGCAAGCCTCCCTAGCATCCTTCACATTTTCGAAAAAATGTATTTTTAATTTACGCAACACACTCATATGTTCCAACTCACCAATTCTATAACCATTCTCATTCTTAACATTAAACTCAAATAGTTCTTAAAGTGACCTTAATTTCCCAATTCCGTGCAAACCTGCTCATGAGAGAGTGGGGGAAATGAGGGTGGCCGAACCGGGTAGCTAGGGTGGGGGGGCTAGCCATGAGACAAAATTGTCTCAAAATGGGGGAAACCAGCTGGGAGCGTGAATTAGGTTAAGGATTTTGTTACATATCATTTTTATTATTATTATTTTATTCCGTTTTATTATATTATATTACTTAAATATATTAATTTGCATGCGATTTACTCATGCTCAGAACCCAGAAAATAGATGTCTTCCCTAGGTAAAATCCACGTCCCGGACGCATCGGCACAATCTATTTCGTCATCCGGGGTCGTTTGGACAAGTTCGCCGAAGGTCGGGTCAAAATGTTTCAAACTCAATATTTCTTCAAATTTTGGTCCGTGATTGACCGTTTTAAAAAAAATTGATTTAGATTTTGATTAATATGTGTGCGAATGTATTAAAGTCAATATGGGTGTTCTAAGGCTTTTAAACCCTACGGGATCTCTTTGGGCCTCCACATGATGATCCTTAACCACTTAACCAAATGATGATGGTCCGTGAACACAACCACTTGATCAAATGGTGATGGTTTGAGACTACCCAGCGAGGCTTCGCAAAAGAGTTAAGAGATTATTCAAGTTTCTAAATGGTGTGAGTCTCGGCACTAGTCGTCTAAGATAATCGATAGGAAAGTCCTATGGCTAGATTCTAGTATCTAGAAGAAAGAGTAAGGAAGACCTCAAAATGAGGTCAACACTAGGGTATATATTGATTTCTATTTTATTTTATGCTACTGTAATTTAGATGTACAGATATTCACTGGGTTATAACTCACGACCAATAACAATTTCAGGTTTAAGTTTTTAACTAGAAGATGAGTGACAATAAGAAAAATGTCTATAGATGATGCAGCCATTCTAGAGGAAAATAATTATAATCCTTCTCTCTCTTAAAGTTTATTCGTCGGTGGCTCTTTCAAATTATTTGAATTATAATATTTTAGTGATAGAAATAAAATTTGAATTTGAATTTGTGTCAGACCCTTTGTTACCGCCTTGAAAAGTCAAATCACCTGGGCTGTGTTGTGACAAGCATTAAGTTAGGTTATGTGGATTTTAGGTTTAGGAGTGGAAAATAATCTATAGAGATGAAGGGTTACAAGGCTCTGATTCCAAATGACACTTCTAAAAATTTTCAGAAGGTGCCTTAAGATCATATTTAATGGAGAGAGCTTGAAAAATGGCAAGATGAAGATAATATGCAAAATCTCCCTAGTTTGGAAAGAGGTTGAAGCTATTCGGTGATTTTCTGGTTTGAGAACGTCAGGGTGAACTGCGAAACGACAACTTAAGGATGACTGGGAGAAACATAAACCAAATGCAGCTCTCTAGATCAGAGAAAGCAGGGAGAAAAGATTCAAATAACATAAACCAAAAGCAAGTATCCAACTAGTCCACAAACAAAACGAATAAATAGTCCCAAAGAAAATTAACCCTAATACCAAATAAAAAATAATGGAAAAAATGGTCTGACATGGCCTGTTGATACTGTGAGCGGGATAGATCCTGAATCGGGAGTTCCAGGCAGAAAATTTCTCATTGCATCATGTGTGGGATGGGATTTCCCATCGCCAACTTCTGTCCCGCTGAAGTGGGAATGCTCCGCCTTCACTATGTTTCACTGTAAAATTAAATTGTGAAGGAAAATTATGATAATACTTTCCGGCTTGCTTGTATGTCGTTTTTAGTTATTTCTCTTAATTTGGTAACCCTGCGGCTATATGTAGTATGAAAATAACAGAACATATTCTTGTTCTTATCAACCCGCCTTATCAACCATATAGAAAAACTAGGTGGTCTTCATATTACCACTTGTGCTATTACTCATCAGATACTGCCCAGATTATGATATTACGTTGTGAAAGTTAATTTCACCTGTGGATTGCTTCCATCAGTACCGGTTTAGAGAGGAATTTATAAAAGCGGCCTTACCATGTAGAAAGCTCTTTTTTTTTTTTCCTTGTAATTTGAACATCTGAACTCTATGTTACAAGCTTAAGTTTGTTTTATTCAATATTCATGCATTACTCACTATGTTGTTGGCAAATTATTGATTTTCAATAACGTTAGTTCATGCATTGTAATAAGAAGAAAAACTTTTTTGTTGCATCGCTGTCACCTTTATCTCTGTGTATGCGTTCTTGTATTATAATTTCTAATCCTTCTCAGGAAGATTATAAGCTGTTCGAAACAAGTTATGCCCTTCTCATAACCCGAGTTCCTTCTGTGGTTTGATTATGCCTGGTGTTTGTCAGCCATGAATTGTCTTCAACTTGTAAAAAATAGTGAAAACTGTGTTTTGTTAATTATTCTTGTGTACCATTTGTAATAATATTCATTTTTTGACTTAAATTCCTTGCATGGCAGATTTCATCATCATTGCCAGAAAGGAAGATTAATTAGAATTTGAGTGTTGCTACACCATGCATCTGTAGCGGGCTATTATAATAACTAAATCTGTTCTTGTAAATTATACAGCAAGTGTTCCTTTTTTTTATTATCTTTCTTTTTTCTGCATTGCATTGCTAAGGTAAAATTTATCTTTATTTGAGGTTTAACCTTTTTGTTATTTTTTTCCTTTATTATTTATTTATTTATTATTTTTTTTTTTTGGCTCGACTGTGAGCTCACTTGTTTTGCTTGATTGTTCAGGTGCAGAATGCTGATGATAACATTTATGATCAAAATGTGGAGCCAACTTTAATTTTTATTCTTCATGATAGTGGGATTGTTGTTATGAACAATGAACTTGGATTTTCTGATAAGAACATTAGAGCGCTTTGTGATGTTGGAAATTCAACAAAGAAAGGGTCAAGTGGTGGCTATATAGGTCAAAAAGGCATTGGGTTTAAATCTGTTTTTCGGGTAAGCATAGAGAAATTGCTGTTCCCCAGGCTTTCCTGAGTTGTGAAAATGGTATTCAAATTCACATATATTTTACTTGAAAGTTTATTTGTTTTTGACAATCAAGTAGTATGTTGAAACATAATATTTTCTTATACATGGTATGCCATAAACATATTTTGAGTTGCTGTTTCATTATACTGTGATTTAATGGTATACCTATTAACTCTGTCGTTGTACATAGAGAATCAAGTTGGTAAGTTAAAATGATCATTGTGTTTTACAAGCCTAATAATTTCAAGAGCTTTCATTTTTTTTACATGATTTTTTTTTGTAAGAAAAAATAAAGGCCATGTGTAACTGTAATTCAAAAATTAATATTGTAGGTTTTATGATTGAATGTTCAATTATATTTTTGCTTAACAAGAATTTAATAATATATCAAGAGATGGAAGTTTTGTCTCATTTGGTCAAGGGATGTAGAGAACTGGACTTCAAAAGATGGACTTACGATCTTGCTCTATAGGCAAAACAACCCACTCGAGAACGTGCATAACTTGATGGGTTTGAGTTTGATTTTTAAAAAATAATTTTAACATATTAATAATAGTTGTATACCTTTTAAAATACTTGAATAATCTTTAGTCAACTTAAGTTCTTTTCATATTTTTATTCTACACTATTGGCAAGTCCCTAGTTGATTTCATTTTCAAAGTTGCTATTGTAGACTGTTAATTCTTAGTCATCATTTTACTTTTTACCATGTTTGATTGAATAAGTCACGAACTGTCTCTTTGTTGACGATTTTGACGCTCTTGTTGCATCAGTGTAGTCTGTTTTGTGAATGGTCAATGTTTGGGCATTTTCGATTTCAATCTGAAGCAATCCAAACGGGAGTAAAATGCTGCTTCCGCTGTTCGTTTCCTTCTTTATGTTTGATCGAGCCTATTGAGGAGATCTATCTCAAGTATTTTCAATAATTTGAATTTGTCAGCGTGGTTCATTTTATGGAAAGGGCATTGTTTTCATGGTTTTAAGTGCAATTGATGCATCTTGAATTCCTTTTATGCAACGTTGCATTCAATCACTTTGAGATATGGAGCTTGTATTGAGGTCGACTTGTAATACCCTCTCTGTTCCTTCTGTTTTGAATTTTGAGAATTTTGAGTCTATTGATTTTCCTAGAGTCATGCTTGGTTCAGAACTTGCCAGTCTATTGAGGATTCTACTTATACTCTCACTAGTTGATTCAATCTCAAGATTGTGTTAAAGTTTTGTGGAATTAAGGTTTCAGTTTATATTTTTTCGTTGCAACACTAAGAAAGAATTTCATCATTCTCCCAGTTTTCAAGTGAGGCATAAACTTGATGATTTTGGCATTCAGGACCTGTAATGTCTAAGTTGGCATAAACTACTTTTATAGGGTGTCATTTCTCTTCTTTCTTTAAGTGAGCGTGATCTGAGGTGTTTTTCTTTCCTTCTTGATTGCAGTCTTATGTTCTTATTTTTTCATGCATCTGTTTTTACTAGCTTGTCATTATTTCGAATGAAAAAGAAAATCTTTTTCTTGCGTCCACTATCCACTAGAGGATCCCTCCAACTTAAACAGAAGTAACCAGTGCAATGTTCAAAGGAACAAACAAATAAACAAATATATATGTATGTATGTATATTGCTTACTAAATATGAATTTCTTTCCTAACTTGATATTTTCCTTTGCTAACATGTACCCTGCAAATGTATTTTCCATTTTGTGTTAGATTACAGATGCTCCCGAAATTCATTCCAATGGTTTTCACGTGAAATTTGACATAACCGAAGGCCAGATTGGTTTCGTTCTTCCAACTATTATTCCTCCATTTGATATTGATTTTTATGAGACGGTGTTACATGATTCTGATGAAGCCAATGCCACCCCTTGGAAGACCTGCATTGTTCTTCCTTTCAAGCCAAAGCTTAAACAAGGGAAAGGAATCAGTCCTGTTATCTCCATGTTCGCAGATCTTCATCCATCCCTGCTACTTTTTCTTCAACGTCTCAAGTGTATAATGTTCAAGAATATGCTTGATGGCAAGCTTGTTAGTATGAGAAGAGAAACTGTAAAAGATGGCATAGTAATAGTTTCTCAGGGTCATGAAAAACTTAATTGGTTGGTTGTTCGTAAAAGCCTGCAAGCTTCTTTAGTTCGCCCTGATGTGCAATCTACAAAAATTGCTATGGCTTTCTCAATGGAACTGTCAGATAATGGTGACTGTCTTCCTCTACTTGACCAACAACCTGTTTTTTCTTTTCTTCCTTTGAGAAAGTATGGGCTTAAATTTATTATACAAGGTGACTTCATTCTACCGTCGTCAAGAGAAGAAGTTGACGAAGACAGTGCATGGAACCAGTGGCTGTTGTCAGAGATGCCGGATCTTTTTGTATCTGCTGAGAAATCCTTTTGTGCTCTCTCTTGCTTCAAGGGTAATTCGGCTAATGCCATCACATGTTTTATGAGTTTCGTTCCTCTTAGTGGCGAAGTGCACGGTTTCTTCTCTCCTCTTCCTCAGATGATTGTGTCTAAACTGTGTTTGTCAAATTGCTTGCTTACAGAAGCCTCTACGGTGGAGTGGGTTCCTCCATGCAGAGTGCTTCGAAATTGGAATGAAAATTTGAGAACGTTTTTGTCAAATGATCTACTACAGCAGCATCTTGGATTGTCTTACCTGAATAAAGACATAATCTTGTCTGATACTTTGGCAAGGGCATTGGGTATTCAGGATTATGGACCCAAAATATTAATTAGACTGATATCATCTATTTGTCTAGGTAATTGTATTAAGGAGCTGGGTTTAGAATGGCTTTGTTCATGGCTGAATGCTTTGTATACCACATTGGCAGTTAATTCATCTGGATATCTAAGCTCTGTACATGCTCCCATCGAATCTGATCTTCTAAATAATCTTCGAAAGATTCCGTTCATACCACTTTCAGATGGTTCATACTGCTCAGCAGAAAATGGGCCAATTTGGTTTCCATATAACACATCTGATAAGGGTTTTGAAGGTGAGAATGTTTTTAGGGATCTTCCTGGTCTTTATGCAGAACTTAGGACTGTAAATTCTTGTATATTCACCATGGAATCTAGGCCTTTTAATGTGGAGAACAGAGCTGATAATATCATAAAAGTGCTACATAAAATTGGAATCCAGAAACTGTCGGCTCACAACGTAATCAGAAATCACATTTTGCAATCTATTTGTGATGAGAAATCTACAAATAAAAATGCAGATTTGATGATTGAATACGTCATTTTCATAATGCTCCACTTTCAATCTTCCTGCTTTGAATGCAATACCGAGCGGGATGGCATACTGCAAGAGCTACATAAAAGGAAGATTTTATTAACTAATCATGGTTATATTTGCCCTGGTGCTGAACCTGTCCATTTCAGCAAGGATTTTGGCAATGGGTTTGACATAAAGAAACTTCTTGATGGCATGAACATTAAATGGAATGAGGTTGATGCTATATACCTGAAACATCCCAGCACTGAATCACTTCCTCTTGGGTTGATGAAATGGAGGGATTTCTTAAAAAAATTAGCTGTTACCGACTTTGTGAAAGTAAATCAGGTAGAGAGGATTTGTTCTAGGTTTACGAGCATGAAATGCTTCGAAGATGTTAGACCAGTGGAGTTATTGGTGAATGACTGGGAATCACCTGAGTTAATTTCTATATTATCTTCTCTGTCATCAAATAAATGCTTGGAAAAGAGTAGGTATCTACTGGATATACTTGACAAAATGTGGGATGGTCATTTTAGTACTAAGGCTAGATGCTTCAGTAGTCCTTTTGAAGAAGGAAGACAAACCTTTCAATCGTCCTTCGTGAAATGCATTGCTGACTTCAAATGGGTGGCATGCAGCATGGATGAAGAAGCACACTTCCCCAAGCATCTTTTTTATGATTGTGAGACAGTGCGTTCACTTTTGGGAGGTGCTGCACCATATGCTATGCCACAGGTTAGTAACTTGTGCTGGAGCTTTTATTATTCTGCTGTATTGGTTGATTTTGTGGTTTTCTTGTTCTGAATTCATTGCTTCTACAACAGCAACAACAACAACAAACATTTATCCTACTAAGTGCGGACAACTACATGAATCTTTTTTCTCCATTGTGTCCTATTGAGTGTTATATTTTCATTTAATTCTATTAAAATAGGATCATTTTTTATACAACACGCCTCAGACTTTGTAGGTCTACTTCTATCTTTTCTAACATAAGTCGGTTCTAAAACATCTACTCTCCTAATCGGATCATCAAATGGTTGACATTTAATGTAACCAAACCATATACGACGACTATCTCTGCTCTTGCCTGCCACTGGAGCTACACCAATCCTTTCACAGATACATTTATTTCGCATTTTGTCTCTAAGTGTCAAATTATTCATCCACCTAACTCATCTCTGCAAAACTTAACTTAGTTTTATGCTTCTCTTTTATAGGCCAACATTCTGCGCCATATATGAATTCATTGCTTCTATTTTTTAAAATATTTAATAAACAATCGGTTACACCTGCCTCCCATTCATGAGTACATGTTATTTTAATATGATGCAATCTTTAGGGACAAAAAGTTCCAATGATCATTATAAACCTTAGTCTGTCATGAACCTTACAGGGTTTGCACGACCCGACCCGGGAGCTTGGAATTACCACGGCGGGAACTGACAGTTGGGTGGAGAAAATTCATGAAGCAGTTTCATTTCATCACAAAAATAAAAATCTAAAGCACAAAAGAGTCATTCTATTTATAAAATTTAAAGTTACAATCAATTCGTACAAATTTTTAAATATTTAGAACTGACATTAAATAAAAACTAACTCACTATACCTATTAGCTTGCGCTTCACGGCATCTGTACACGTACTCCCTCGGGTCCATCTAATCTACAACTGATTTTGCTATTAAAAATGTTAGCAATCAAAGTTTAAGTTAAACTACTCAGTGGACAAATGTTTCTAAATTATAATAATTCTCTTTTTAAATTATTTTTGTGAAGAAGTGTTAACAATGAAAGCTATATAGTAAAAGAGAGCAGTAAAGAAAATAATTGTATTTCTTTCATTTATTTAAGTTGCAATTTTCGTAATTGGGAGTTACCGTCTAAACATATACTTTTAAGAAAATATGTTTACTCATTTCCAAGCCACCATAAAGGCAGACAATCATTTTCTTTTATATTTTTATTTCTATTTCGTACACAAGTACATTATATTCCTCTACCAGTAACATCCAGAGGTGACTCCCATGTGCATGCATATTATATTTTATTTATTTTTTATCATGCATTTAACATTTAAAAGAAAATATAGATTTTTGCATTTTAAAAATAAAAGCTGCGAAATAGTGAAAACATACGTAAATAAACAGAGTTGACTCCCATGTGCTTGCATATATATATATATATTATCTTGCATTTAACATTTAAAAGAAAATATAGATTTTTGCATTTTAAAGATAAAAGGTATGAAATAGTGAAAACATACGCAAATAAACAGAATTATTGTAAATTAAAAATATATTACACTTCTCAATAGTGTCGCATGCTATCATTTTCCTCAGGTCAATCTAGTCTTTAAATGCACCTATAATAACAATTTAAAGAAAATTAGCTTTTTGGTCAGATTAATCTTTTCTCCTATTAATTCTAGACTTTTTATGCTTATTTTCATAATTTTTTTTATTTCATTAGCTATTTCTTTACCTATATTAACATATATACATATATGTATTCTCGAAACATGTATACATATATATGTAGGAATATCCAAATTAATTTTTATGTTTAAAAATTGTAAGTTTTTTATTTGGGCAAACCAACATTAATAGTAACTTGAGTATAAATAAATTTTACATTTAGGGTTCTTTACTTCATTTTAACATTCATTTGTTAGGAAATAATCATTAGTTATTAAAATCAAGTTTTAACCTGAAGTCCCCCCCCCCCCCCCCCCCTTTTGTGTTTTCACTTGTCAAAAAATTTAAAATTGTAAGAATTAATATTAGGATTTGCATTTCATGACTTAATTTAAATCAATTAACATTAGTAACTGAATAATTTACTCTTTTATCTTTTGATTCAAACCTCCGCCTGCCCTAAATATATTCGACTAAAGCAATTAAGCTCAGTTGAGCGCTTTTCACGCACAGTAGGATCCCTTGAGTCTTCCTTTTTCTTCAAACTCTCGGTCGAGCTTCCTACAAGCCACACAAGCTCTCCTTCCCCTTTGGCTAGCCGTTCGATAGAAAAAACTCGTTGCACTTCTCATTCTATTGCTCAGGTAAGGCACAATTATAATATTATTATAATAATTGTTAAATTTTGATAACTCAGGGTAATGTAAATAAAGAAGAGAATATATATGAGAATTTTTTATTAAGGCGAGTGCAGCTAAATAGTAGCATTTAACACCACCAACACTTATTGATTCTGCATCCAGTGGTGTTAGTGTCCTTATGGACACTTTAACGCAGATGATGGTTATAGTGACTGAATTGATTCATAATTCTCATACCCAAGCTAGTGGTAATAAGACAACATCAATGGATAAGTAATAAAGTTATTCTAAGATATAAGACTACCAGTCCTTTCAAAAGTAGAAGAGTCCATAGAGGCTAAAAACTAAAAATTGGTTCTTGAGGATTAAAAAGATATTTATAATATGCATATCCATAAGAGAGTAGGGTCACATTGACCACATTTAATTTTGAGGAATAAGTAGAAAAATGGTGAGCGAAACAACTGTAAGAAAGGTTTGGGGGACGATCACCACTTTAATATAGTGGAAGGATTTTGTAAAGAGCTTCCACAATTGATTTGTTCCACTTTCATCCAAGAGGCAAATGTAGGATAAATTTATTTGGCCGATGCAAGATAAATGCTCCATCATATAGTATGAGACTGATTTCATGATATTTTTCAAATGTACACCATTATTGATCCCTAATGTAAAAGAAAAGTGTCATATTTTTCTATTTAGATTGAAGAACATCATCAGATAGCCCTTAATCTCTTTGGGCATTAAGGATTAATCGGTCATTGAAAGAGAGTGAAGATGATAAAGATCGATTTACTAGTTATACAGATGCATGTGAATTTTTATAAGGGAAAGAGGGATGAGAGATTCAAATATGGGCATATCATTCAGTCTATTCAGTATGGAAATCTAATTGGAAGAAACCTAAATTCAAAAGTAGTGGAAGTAGAAGTGGTGTTATGACTTGTGCAAAGTGTGGGAGGTGCATATGGGAGAATGTCTTTCGGGCACTAACACGTTCTTTTGGTGATATCAAAAAGGACACATGGCAAAATCCTTCTCTACTGTTAGAGGCCTTCTGTATATACCAGAGCTAGTGATCTACATCCCTAAAGAATTTTTTGTCAGATAGAGATAGGTCAAGTCAACAAGTTTAGCTCCATCTCAAAGTCAGACCCTCCAAAGTGTATAGCCTCGGGTATATGCATTGACTTAGTAGGAAACAAATGACTCACCTAACATCATTACAAGTATTCATTTCACTTTAGTTAGATTTTTTATATCTTTTTATTTTATACTAGACCTTTATATTATTTTTATTATAAGTATTGTATATATCCAAAATAAATTGGACATAATTTTATTTAATACTGGGGCGTAACATTTTTTATCTTTGAAGAATTTGTGAGAACTGAGGGACTGAACGCATTAAGGTTGTATGAAGTATTATCAGTTGTTTCACTTAATGGGTCTTACATAATGGTTGATAAAAATTTTTTTGTGAGTATGATCATCTGTGATAGAAGCTTGAAGGCAAATCTAGTAGTGTAGCCACTACTGAATTCAAAGTGATCATTTGGATGACTTGATTACCCAAGCATATTGCAACTATAGATTGATCTAATAATATGATTAAATTCAATATATCTAAAGAAGAAGAATTTAAGTTTGTGGGAGAGAAGAATAGTATGTATGATGATATTGAGCCTAAAAGCCATTATAATATTAGTGAAATGTTAATAAGATTTTATAACTCAAGTTAATGACACTAAAAGAAATAAATAAGTTAAAGGATATATCAGTAGTAAAGGAGTGCTCAGAAGTATTATTAGATGATTTGTCAATTTTACCTTCATTAAGAGAGTTAGATTTCTCCATCAACTTGATCCAAGGTGCAAAACCAATAGCAAAAGCGCCCTACAAAATGACAATCGAAAGCTTTTCCAGATACCCAAACGAGCTTCTCCTTGCTCTAGGCACTTGACAGAGCCCGCTTAGCCCTCCAGATACTTATCGAGCTTCTTCTTCCTCCTCCTCCTTTCACCTGCTACTCACGGCACTCGACAGAACTGTTCAAGCTCTCTTCCTTCGGTTAGATTGCTAGCAGTGGAGGGAAATGACCTGATAAGCCGCTTGCTTCCTCTACTTCCTTCATCTTCTTCCTCTTCCTCAATTTCTTCTTTATTCTTCTTTTTCTTCCTCTTTCCTCTCGTTCTTCTTCTGGCTTTTTCTCCCGCTCTGTCCGGCTTCCCACTGTCCCTCTCTTTTGTTGGGTTCCAATGAGAGGATTTGAGGAAAATTCCTCGTTTTAATGCTTCCTTGAGCAGATCTGGTCTCGTGTGAATGATACCTATGTCTTTACCAACGAAGATTTTTATAATGTTCTATAAATTAATTTAATTTGTTTATGATTACAATTTTCCCTTCTTATAAAAATTTCTTCTTCGAAATTTAATGTACAGATTGTACTTTTTTATCTTAGCTGAAAAGGCATGGATATCTTTCTCTCATTTATGATTCCTTCACTCATGTGCCATCTTTTTCAGTCATGTGCTTTCATAATAGACGACTAAAATGAATCTCTCTACTCTTGAACTGCTTCGCATCTAAATTTATGATTCTTTGTAGCTCATCCACAAATATCAAGTCAGGTTGAATATCTATAGGGTTTGTGACAAACTTACTAGTCTCATCAACAAT